ATCCTAAGAGCCTTGGAGCTATTAGAAGGAAAAGAGGGGACCATCTATACAGATTCTAAATATGGGTACGGGGTGGTACACACTTTTGGGAAATTATGGGAAGAAAGGGGCCTCGTGAACTCACAGGGAAGGGACTTAATACATCAGAAACTAATAGTAGCCCTCCTGAGGGCTTTGAGAGGCCCTACAAGGATAGCGGTGGTCCATTTAAAAGGGCATCAACGGGGAATGGATTACCGGAGTAGGGGTAACAATGCGGCAGATTATGAGGCAAAGAAAGCTGCAATTATTAAAACACTAACTTTAAGTGAGGGAGTTAGGAAAGACCTTGTGGATACCCCAAAAGACCCTGAGTCGACTACCCAGGATAAGCTGATATTTACAATAGAAGAACAGGAGAAGCTTACAAAATTAGGAATAAAAGAGGAATCAGGGAAATGGCTGTTAAAGGATGGGAGGGAAGTTCTACCTAGAGCCATAGCCCAGCGGATGCTCAGTAAATTACACCAGAGAACACATTGGGGCGCTCAAGGACTGGTGGATCACTTTGCCACCCATTACATGACGGTGGGCCTACATGACTTAGCGAAAGGGATTACTAGGAGTTGTCCAACCTGTCTACGGGTAAACAGGAAAAATCTAAGGAAACTGCCCCTGGGTGGGAGGCCAGTGGCAAAGAAGCCCTTTTCAAATCTGCAAGTAGACTTTACTGAGCTCCCCAAGGTAGGGAGACTAAAATATCTTTTGGTTATAGTGGATCATTTAACACATTATGTGGAAGCAATCCCCACTGCCAGGGAGACAGCTCGGACAGTAACAAAAGCCTTGCTGGAAGAAGTAATACCTAGATATGGGGTCCCAGAGACGATAGACTCTGATAAAGGCCCCCATTTTACTTCAAAAATAACACAGATGCTAGCAGAAGCTCTGGGCATAAGATGGGAACAACATACTCCCTGGCATCCACAGAGTTCGGGGAGGGTAGAAAGAATGAATGGAGAAATTAAGAAACAACTCACCAAATTAGTACTAGAAACTAAACTATCCTGGATAAAATGTCTGCCGTTGGCATTATTAAATGTTCGAACTCAGCCACGAGCTGATATAGGACTGTCCCCATTTGAAATGTTGTATGGGATGCCCTATTCCCTAGAAAAAGTTCAAACCAATCCTAACATTACTGATCAAAGTATTAATAAATATTTAACCACTTTAATGAAATATAAAAAACAGTTATGGGAAAAGGGGATGTGGGCCCAAAGACCACCCCTAGATCTTGTGTTACACCAGGTACAACCCGGCGACTGGGTCCTCATCCGAAGCTGGAAGGAAGATTCAATCACCCCAAAGTGGGACGGACCATATCTGGTTTTAATCACCACTGACTCCGCAGTCCGCACAGCAGAGAAGGGATGGACTCATGCTAGCAGAATAAAGGGGCCGGTGGATCCAACTCGATTCCATACAGCTTCCAGGGAAACGAGCTGGAAAATTGACGGGAAGCCGGGGGATTTAAAGTTAACAGTAAAAAGGACTTACAAATAATTTTCATGAACACTATCAACTCTAAGGACATTTGGGTTGGAGATAACTGGGGACTGCAAGTACAACTGGTTGGAGAAACAAAACCCCCAGGATACTGTAAACGTCTAGAGGATTCAGCCCAGCAGCCCTTTTATCGGTTCATCCGACTTGAAAAAGAGCAGAGACCTTGGGAAGGGGAGGGCCATGCTGAACATCAAAGTATTAGAGTAAAGTGTAGCTGGTTAGATTGTCATTGTTACCCTTTTGCCTGTTTTTCCTGCAAAATCTGTAAAGGATTGTGGTGGGCTCACTGCAGAAAGGGGAGAGCTCCAAAAAGTGTATGTCAACGCTGCTGGCTGGAGCAGCGCAAATTGACATCTGAAGTACTAAATTACAAGGTTGCCACTCGGGAATTGACTAAAGGATCCCCTGAGTGGTGGGAGATTTTCGTAAAAGGAATAAACCCTGAATTCCACTGTTACCATTCCAATGAACCCCTGGGTCCATTCCTCACGGATATAGTCCAGGTCAAGTGTCGCAAATTAGTCAAAAGGCTCAGGTGCGACACCCCACAGTTAAATGCGAAAAACTGGAACTCCCGGAGGTCAAAGTGGGAGAGAGGGAACAATCCCACCCCTGAAGAATATCTCTGCTGTCGAGAAGATGGCTTACCCTGTAACTTGTAGCAACCAAGTTGACAGGCGAGACAGAGAGGTAGGTAGTGGGGATGAGGGGCCCTCCCAAACCTTGAAAAAGAACGTAAATCATCATGGGTATGAGAATGGTGACAACGGAATGAGGGAAAATGGGAATGTAAAACTGAACATGATAAGTAACATCCTCCCCTGCAGTGCGTATCACTCAATCCTATGGGTTTTTATGTTTGTATGGCTTCCCCTCCAGAGTGCCACAGTTAATATACATGAACCCTTTAAATGGACCTTAAGCAGATGGGAGGATCACGATACCCGTCATATTTTACAGACAATAACGGGACCTGGAGCACCGAGCTTTAAGATTGGGATTTGTGATCTAACTCGAAGTTTAAAATGCGGGCAGCTGTTAAATTTAACAAGCTTCTATATGTGCCCTGCCTCGAACCCAGGGAAGCAATACTGTAATTACCCTAGACATTATTACTGCGCCTATTGGGGCTGTGAAACAATAGCATCAGCGTGGGCTCCGGGTGGAGGATTAGACAAATATTTAAAAGTAGGGCATGGACCAGCAGGGTGTAAACGACCACGAGAGTGGCCTTGGACTGGGAAAAACTTACTTGGGAACTGCACCTTTCTTTACCTAAATGTCACTCAACCAAGTGATTCTGGATGGTTAATAGGCAAAACATGGGGGGTTAGGCATTGGATAGAAGGACATGATCCAGGAAATCTGATACAAATAAAAAAGGAGGTAGCTCCACATGACCCTAGTCCTATAGGCCCAAATCCAGTAATAAGCAATGACTTAAAGGAGAGTAATAAAACCAGAGATAATGTTATAAAATCAAACAAAAATAATCAAGAACCTCAGCTATTAGTGCAGAAGTATACAACCTTATGGAAAATTATGCAAGCTACTTTTGGAGTTTTGAATCATACTTATCCTAACTTAACCAAGGGATGTTGGCTTTGCTATATGATAAATCCACCCTTTTATGAAGCTATTGGGATTACATCTGAGGCAAGAGAAATAAATGGTACAAATCCAAAGGAGTGTCTCTGGAGAAAGGGAGGAGATAGTGTTTCAGGCATTACACTGTCCCAGGTTAGTGGACAAGGAAGGTGTGTAGGGAAGGTTCCAGCAGATATGCGACACCTCTGCAACACAACAATGAGCATTAGCAGAACAGACAAGCCTTCTGATTGGCTTATGCCAGCAGTCAATACTAAATGGGTATGTCAACAACTTGGAGTTACACCCTGCCTATCGGTAAAAGCCTTTAATAATTCAGACTTCTGCATTCAAGTTCTAATAATCCCCAGAATCGTATACCATCCAAAAGAATACGTACTAGAACATCAAATGACCCCTGAACACTACCTGGCTAAAAGGGAACCACTTACAGCACTAACGGTAGCAATTTTGCTCAGCTTAGGAGGAGCAGGAGTAGGAACAGGGGTTGCTTCCTTAGTAAGTCAAAACCAGGGTATGAAAGCTCTGCGCACATCTGTAGATGAAGATCTGAGTAGAATAGATAAAGCCATAAGTGAACTAGTTAAATCAGTGAAATCCCTTTCTGAGGTAGTCCTCCAAAACCGAAGGGGATTAGATTTGTTATTCTTACAGCAAGGGGGGCTGTGTGTTGCTTTGCAGGAAGAATGCTGCACTTATGTAGATCACACGGGTATTGTAAAAGACACGATGGCTGAATTACGCAAACAAATAGAACAACGAAAAAGAGAAAGAGAATCCCAGCAGAGTTGGTATGAATCCTGGCTCACCTATTCTCCCTGGCTAACCACTCTATTATCCACCCTTGCAGGACCAGTAATTTTACTAATTCTAGTACTTACTTTTGGGCCATGTATACTTAACAAGCTTATTACAATAGTGAAAAATAGGTTAGAAGCTGCACATTTAATGATGGTAAGATCAACGTACGAGCCACTTAGCGGAGTAGAAACTGAAGATTATTTAGAATTAAGCAAAAGGGAATTAGAACGCTTTAGTGAACAAAAAGAGGGTTAAAATAAAAAGGGGGGATATTGTTAGGAAAATAAGGCCTTTTTGTTCATAATATAGAGTTTTTACATCCATAAAATAGAATTTTTACTTAGAGTTTTCACTTGTCTGAATATGTTCTCATTTTGCCAGGCATTCCAGTGAATATCTCTCAAGGACAATTCCGTTACAAACTGTTTTAGGGAGTTGAAACTGATTTAGGGAGTTGATGTTGCTAGGCACCTAAGCACCTAAGCGAATATCTTTCAAGGACAGTTCCGTTACAGACTTAGCAAAACATGTACTCTTGTGGAATGCAAGTAAACGTGCCTAGAAATAACATTTCTTGTTTTGAGAGAATTCCCAGATCACAGGGACAACCTTGAGGAAGACTACTGGCCTTCATCCCACGACCACCAAGAGGCAGAAAACGACCACCTAGCAACAGGGTGCACCTGCGCAGAAAAGACACCAGAACGTCACACATCCGGAAGAGAAGACCCAATAAGTTAGGGGGGAACGGGGGACGAAGGCGCGGTAGTTGGAATAACTGCCGCCCAGCGCGCTGATTTGCTTTCGTTTCCTACCATTAATAAATCTTTTTAATTGGATTAGAAAGCCTATTGTGCTCGTTCATAACAGGAAATGCGTTGTCCTTACTTTTCCCGCAGTGGCCATGTGGTCTCGGCAGAGCTGTTGCTGTCGCTGGCTGGAGGGAAGCTGCTGCCTCCGCGTTGCAGAATCCCCAGGAGAGGAGCGGGATAAGGCGCAGTCGCAGTCGCGGTGCGGCACCGTCCCTGCAGGGCGCTGGTTGAGCTGTGCCAGGCGCTGGATGCTGGGCGGCACCGTGAGTGCTGAGGGGAGGAGCTGGGGAGCGGCTGGGAGATGGATGGGAGCAGAAGGCCTCCAGGGAGGCTTTTATCAGTGACTCTGCCCGTGGGTCATTCCCTGCCCTCCCTGCCTGAAAGCCATAGAGTGCTCAGAAAGATTGATTTTAGTTCTTCCAGTTGCTTCTAGCACGTGTGGAGGGAGGCGATTTGTGGCACTGCTGGGGCTTCCTTGGCGTCCCCTTTTTGCCAGGTTGGAGCATTTGACCTGGTGGCCATTTACACCACGATATTTGCAAAAGGATTAAAACTTAAAAAAATTAAATAAAACAAATCAAAAGTCAGTGAAAATGGGGTTTGGTGGATGAAGATCCATCGCCTTCTGGGTTGTAGCTTTACTGTCTGCGGTATTGCAGCTATTTTCACCAGAGCAGTAAGGGCAGAATGTGTCGGAAGAGGATTCTTTTCCCCAAGGACCCAGTTGCTTCTCTCCAGTGTAACCAGGTTTGTGGGTTCACTCCACCCAGGCTCTTCAGGTTCCCCCCGAGCTGTTTTCTGCTGAAGCATTGGACAAGGTGATGTATTCCAGGGACTGGATGGGCAAGAGCTTGTTGGAGGACCAGGATAAGATGAGGAGCCAGAGTGTGATGTAACCCCCACCGTTAGAGAAAGGAACCTTCCTTCTGTGTGGCTGAAAAGACACTTTTGCAAAGCTAAGGAATGGGATAATTTCTTAGAAGACTGCCACTAATGACATAAACCCCCTTTTTGGGTCACTAACCATTTAGAATGCTATAATGAGAAGTTAGCTCTTTGGCTATTGAGAAAGATTTTATGTGTTTTTTATATTTAATATTATATATGTGTATTTTTTATATATAGATTATATGTATATATATCTATCTATCTTTTTTTTTTTTTTAAGTCAAAACACATCTGTTGACATTTGGATTAAAAAAAAAAGGACTAGATATGATCAGGAAAAAAATGTAGCATTAATGAATGAGGTGGGCATTACTCCGTAGACTCAAGCTTGGCACACTCAGCTTTACAGTTGATTCATGTGTCCTTCACAAAATCACAGAATTGCCTTGGCTAGAAGGGACCTTGAAGATCATGTCGTTCCAACCCCCCACCATGGGCAGGAGCACCTCTCACTAGAGGAAATTGCTCATAGCCACATCCAAGTGGCCTCAAATGCTGCCAGAGATGGGCCATCACCAATTCTTCTCAGCCTGTTCCAGTGCCTCAGCATTCTCACTGTAAAGAATTTCTTCCTAATATCTGGTGTAAATCTACTCTCCCTCATGCCTGCTATCCTAGCAGGCCACCCACCAGCTATGGTGGAGCAAAAGTATGGTTCTTCTCCTAGATTTTCATGTACTTTCCTGTGCCTTGCAATCCTCACTTCAGCCTGAAAGTGGGCTGATTTAAGTGTTCAGCCAAAACCAAAAATACTCTGTAGGCTGTTCAGACAGACCCACTTTACAGTACTCCTGGGACACAGATTAGTTGGCTTTGATTCCCATTCTTTTTTCTGCATTGCACAAGGGCTAGAAAGCAATTCCAGAGGACAAATGCTCTATGGCTGGTATCCCATAGGGTAGTCAGTGTTTGAAGTTGAAAGCAACAAATGTAACAGAGAATGAAATCATTCACCTGCTTCCTAGATAGAATTCCATACAGATGGCTTATGATTTCATCTCGCACATAAGGACGTAAATGTGCTACTTGTGCATGCACTTCATGGCTCTTAAGACAGGTCTAGTGTCTGCTGTTGAGTGTATAACCTCCAAAATGGTTGTAAAAAGATCCTTCAAATGTGTACTGTTATTTTTCCTTAAAACATCCATGTGATGCTCCAGTCCCCCAAGCTTGCAAACCACCACTGATGTGAAATGAGAATTCCTGACTGCCCTGCTTGCAGTTGTTAAGGGCCATGGGGAGCTGGCACCTCTGCAAAACATTTGAAATGCATGTAATTATTGCAAGGAGTTGATACTGAGATCCTGTTGCTGGGCAGCTTTTTGTGTCTATTTCAGACAGGAGGTTGTTGTTTTCTTCTTATCCAGGCAATAGAGGGAAAATAAGATCAAACTGGTACGTCAGCTGACATGGATTTAATGATTAACTTTTTAATGGCAGATCCTGTGTATCTACATTCTACAATATGTGCTATCCTGACCTGCTGTATATATTAATGTATTTTATAAGCTTTAATAGCTAGTGTGTGAGGTCAGATGCCAGTACACAGAGGTACAGACCTCAAGGTGTTTGTCTTCATCTTGGTAGTCAGTTTTCTATGCCCTTCTTTATGTTCTGGTTGCTTGCTGCCTGTATCAAAGATGTGGAAAGACAGTAGAATATATGACAGAAATCTGTGTGGAATAGATGCTGAACTGCATCTATGAGGGCTAAGTACAAACCTTATTTTTCCTGCTGCCTGCAGCAGGCTTCAATGCATTTTAATTACAAGTCAGAGTCTGATATTAGTGCCTTTATTAATGACCCAGTATTACATTTCTGTCCACAGTGTAACTGGGCACCTTTTTCAGAGAAAATTTTTGCATTCTACTGCGAAGGACAAACTAGATCATATCCTATCAGGATTTCTTAGCAGTATTGATAATTCACTATTCTATAAGATGCCCTGATGCTTTAATTTCCATAAGAACAGAAATATTGTGTACCTCTTACAAAATGATAGCAGAATGAGGAAAATGAGGTAAGGAGAATAGGAGTTAGAGTCACCCTAATATATTGTACCTAGCAGGGATATAGAAAAAAAATCTGATAAAGATCTATTAAGATGAGCAATTGATTCGGTTCACCCTAGTGAAGGAGAATGGCTGAGGGGAAAAAATTATAAACTAGAGAACAGGACTCAGAGCATTTGCTGATTTTGAGTCCATGCATTCATAGAATGATGGAATATCTCAACTTGAGGGGGACCCATTAGGATCATAGCCTTTTTTTTTTTTTTTTTTTTTTTGTGCTCAGAACAAATTCCTCTGTCATAATAGCTGTGATCAGAGTACATCCTGCAGAAATTCACTCTGCAATGTAAGGAGGACTTTTTCTTTATGATATCCGATAGCCAAGGTACAGCACTTCTAGCACCCACCGCTCTGTGTGATGGGACACAAATGCACATGTAATGTCTCTTCCCCTTTACACTCTGTACATTTCTCTGAGGTTGTTCCAAGGTCAAAACTAGAGCAGAAGAAAAGCCTCCATACTAATATCAGGATCTAATGAGGACAAATAAGAATCAAAGAAGGAAAAAATAGGAGAGAATAGTACAGAGCAAAGTGATAGGTCTATAGTAGATACACATGGTGAGATCCACATTATTTGTTTGCCCCTTGATACTCACCCAGAGGCTCTTAACTGTGCCATTACAGCTCCATATATTCCAACCTTTCTATTCCACACAGTGCCACCTCCCTGCCTCTCTGCCCTGCCTTTCCCTCCTGAAGAGCCTGTAACCATCTAACAGGGCACTCCAGTCACAGGACTTGTCCCACCAGTTTCACTTATGCCAAGGATATCAAGTCTCTGGCACCGCAGAAAACTTCCAGGTCATCACTGGTCGTTCCTCAAGCTGCATTCTTTGGTATAGAAACATTTTCACAAGTGGTACTTTGTAGCCAACACTTGTGAAGCAGATTGAGGGATCCCCTTAGTGCTCCTTTCCTCACATTTTGGCATACAATCCCACTGTTCATCACTGACCAGCCTGGTATTTTCCCATTCCCTTTTCCAGACTAGTTTAAAGCTCTGTCAAAGCACCCTAATAGTTCCTGTGCTAGAACTCTTTTTCCCCTATGAGAAAGGCTCACCCTGTCAGGTGTCAGTAGACCAGATGTTGAATCGATCACCCCACAGTCACAAAACAGTACTTTTACTTACACCAGCCTAGGAGCCATGCATTGACCCCATGGATCTGCCTGTTCCTACCAGTATAATTCCTCATTACGGACAGGTCATGGAAATCACTACCTGTGTTCCTGATCTGTCAACCAATTGTCCCAAGGCCCTGGAGTCTCTGTTGATTGAGTACACTGTGTCAGATGAGTTGGTTTAAAACAACTTTATTAGTAAAAGCATTTTCTTGGGAGAGAAGATCTGTCTGGATTTTATCCAGGCACAGCAGGACCAGCAGTGACTCCAGCACAGGTGAGTTTCTCATTCTCTTCTCCTAGTGCCCCACAAGGAGAGGCGCTGGTTGAGAAGGGCCCGGGCCAGGAGAGCCGCTGCTGCGCTGGTCCCTCCGCTCGGCTTCCTGGGCTGTGTCCTTCAGAAGAGCAGGACAGTGCGGATACTGCAAAGTGGAAGGGAAGGGAGGGTTGGCTGCAGCTCAGGGGCAGGCAGTGTGGCAGGCAGGTGTGCCGGGGGACCCGCCACCTTCCTTGTCATCCAGCCCCTTCCTGACTGAGCCGCTTGAGGCGGGCAGCAGCAGGGCAGCCTTCAAATCCCTGCTGAGGGGAACCCATCAGGGATAAGGCCACAGGATGTGTGCTGAGCTGAACCATGAGCAGGAGGGTTCCCTGTGCTGAACATGGGCTCTTCCCTCTGGGCTATGGCAGATCTTGGCAGCATTCAGCTGTGAGGCCCTGCTTCCTCAAAAGGCTCACGTGCTCTTTGGGAAGCCAGCGTTGCATGCTCTGCCTGTTGGAATTTTAGGAGGAGGTGCTGAGGTTTGCAGAAGCTCCTGCTGGTCAGGGTCTCACCTTTTTCCTGCACGTAACAACTCAAATCCCTCGTTCACTTTAGCGAATGGCAGCGTGTGCGTGATCAGCAAGTCTGAATTGAACTTCCCCTCCAAGTAGCTGGAAACTAATTTGGGGATACATTCTCTCGTCTTCCAGCCTAGAAACAGGACAAAGCAGGTGCATGAATAATGGTAGAAAGGCTGTTTTGGTAAGGTAGTGTGACTGTGAGGGTCAGGACTGAGTGACCAGTTCTGGTGCCACACACTTGTGAGATGCTTTCTACTCTTTAGGATTACTACTCTGGTGATGTTTTCTACTCTTTTAGGGTTACTGTGTGGAACAGGGAGACGTTTATTTGCATGTCCAATGCTAATGTTCACTGCAGGCAATGCAGTGCTCCCCTTTAGTTGTCTTCTACTAGAAAACCCTCTTTTACTATGACATGTCAACCACCATGAAAGGAAAAGCTGAAATATTAACAATGTATTCTTAAGTCTTATACCTCCAAGCAAAGTCCCCTTCCAAGTACGCCCAGTCAGCAGAAGCACAGGATCAATGGAAATCTCTGAATTAAGCACCCCAACCATCACACAGACACCAGTGCTGGCATTGCAGGAAGCCAAGGCAGCAATCTGATGGAACAGGCAGGAGAATTAGAGAAAGCCCTGATGGGTTGGTCAGGGGAGGGCTCTTTTTGTGTAATTTCCTGCTCCTCCCTTGTAATCTGAAAACACACATCCCGCCTTGTGGAGCAGATCTGGAGAGCTTGTGGCCTCTTTTAAGATTCATGTTATTTTCTCTCACAAAGTTATACCCAGCAGTGCAGGCAGCAGGTGGGGAACTTCCCATGGGGGTGAATTTTGCCCTGAGAGGAGCCTGTGATGATCTGGGAGGGAGGACAGGTGCTGGAGTGCCACCTACCATGGTGTCCACGTGCCCGATGGCCTCAAAGGAGTAGTTCACACCCTGCCCGGTCATCTCAGTGAGCACCTCCTGGGTGGGCTTGTTGAAGTCTCGAGGGTTGATGCAGTCGGTGGCTCCCAGCTCCCTGGCCTTGGCAAACTTGTCCTTGTTGATGTCCACGGCAATGATGCGGGCAGCTCCAGCTGCCTTGCAGCCCATGACAACAGAGAGGCCAACTCCTCCGAGGCCAAAGATGGCACAGGTGGAGCCTGGTTTTACCTGCACAGATGAGGCTCTTGTGAGTCTCCAGCGGGAAGAAGAGGAGGAAGAAGAGGGGGAGGAGAAGGTTTCTTTTGCACAGGGTTGATGAGGTTGTGGGGGTGGCCATGGGCTGCTAAACACGCCTGAATACCAACCTTGGCTGTGTTGATGGCAGCCCCATAGCCTGTGGAAAACCCACAGGCAATCAAGCAGACTTTGTCCAGAGGTGCCGCAGCATCTATCTTGGCAACGGCGTATTCTGGGACCACAGTGTATTCTGCAAAGGTGCTGATCCACAGGTAGTGGTGGATCTGCTTCCCTTTGCAAGTGAAGCGGCTGGTCTTGTCTGGCAGCAGGTTTTGTGGTTCAGAGAAACTGTGGGGGAGATGCAAGGATTTGTATTTGATTGACTGAAGCACTGATGGGGGTGTCAGATTTGTCATAAAGTCAATCCCATGTAGGTGAAGGGGAAGGCACAGTAAACTTACTGGGTCTTCTGGCAGTAGTTGGATTCAGGATTCTGGCAGAAGCTGCATTCCCCACACTGAGGGAGGCAAAGTGGGATCACTTTGTCTCCTGCAACAAAGTGGATCTCTGTTAGGTGCCTTTTGCTCCACAGGCCCTGAGGTCATTGCCTGTTGAATCACATCTCCTGAGCTTTCTGATAGTAGGACCCCTACCATGAACACTCTGCTTTCCCTGTCAGGATTAATGCTCCTGGCCCCACTCGTCTACATGGGGAACAGATTGGAAAAGTGGACATGAGAGTCCAGTGCAATGTGTGTGCACTTTGTTTTTTAACCACTGACTCTGGAGCAGGGGCAAGTTTCTGAGGTCTTGGCAGAGCTTTGAGGCCTGAATACTGGGCATGTGTTTGAGTGTGTGTTGGTTACCTGGTTTCACAGAGGTCACTCCTTGTCCAATGCTTTCCACAATCCCAGCTCCTTCATGGCCAGGGATAACTGGGAATTCCACCTTTTGCAAAGATCCTTTCAAAACATGATCGTCTGTGTGACAGATGCTTGTGGCCACAATCTGTTTTGAGAGGAAAGAGTAAATGGTGATTTCTAGAAATAGTCCAGCCACTGTTTATCTCAGTTTGTGGAAGGATTTTTCACAGAACTTCTCTGGACAGTTAAGACACATGGGTGGACAAAGGTCACTTGGTTTTATCCAAGCTACAGCCACAAAATCAGCAATTCCCACAAGGGAAAAAAAGTTATTGAAATGTATTTTTACCTTGATCCGGACTTCTCCTGCCTTTGGGGGTGCAACTTCCACCTCCTCAACAGACAGTGGTTTGCCTGGGGCCCAGGCAACAGCAGCTCTGCACCTGATAACCTGGAGGCAACCAAGAGAAATAAAATTGCAGGGGGAGGTTCACCTTTGGCAAAAGCTCAGGACAGTTGACCTACAATCACCAAAGCCAAAGCTGAACAACACGTTTCTCTGCACACTGCAAGCCACACCTTCTAGAGCTACACAACTGTCCTGTGCTGTTTTCTCAGGGTTGCTGGTTGGGTGGGATTTGGTGAGAGAGCAGAAACATTGGAGTACTCAGCTGTATGCAAAGCCAAAAAATGTTCAGTAAACACTGGCTTTGTGTGACGTGTGAAATACAAAATGAAGTGATTGGTTCATCTGGTGTATGGGGCAGATGTAGCAGCTTAAGGCAAGCAAGACAGAACTTGAAGTTTCCGTGGGCAGAAGGTACCTAAAAAGAGGTTACAAAGCAGTCCCAGCCTGGCTGACAACTGGATAATTTCTCTCCTTGCCAAAAGAATGATTTATGTGTGACATGGCACAAACCCTTCCCCGATCAACTCAAAGCAGTTTGGCATCAGCAAAATGGGGCTTGCAGCTTGAAAAGGGAATTGCCATGCAGAAGGCTGAGTGCAGGAGGTGAGTGGCTGAAGAGGGCACCACTAAAGAGCTCCTTTGCTGCCAGAGCAGGAGCACAGAGTGGGATTGATCAGCAGTTTGTTTTTCAGAGCAGCACAATTCCGAATTTTGTTTCCTGAGGGGTTGGGCAGGACAGAGGGGAAATGCACAACCTAATGCAGGCGTGGACACGTTGCCTGAGAGCAGAATCCGGTGAAATTCACAGGGTTTTGGAAGAGGTGGGGAGCAAGGTCGGAGGAAAGAGGGCGTTCAGAGCGCTGTGCAAGCTGAGCCTTTTGCAGCGCATTTTGCCAGGAGCAGGGCACCACGGAAAGGAGGATGGGAAATGCATTGTCCTTACTTTTCCCGCAGTGGCCATGTCGTCTTAGCAGAGCTGTCGCTGTCGCTGTCGCTGTCGCTGTCGCTGTCGCTGTCGCTGTCGCTGTCGCTGTCGCTGTCGCTGTCGCTGTCGCTGTCGCTGGCTGGAGGGAAGCTGCTGCCTCCGCGTTACAGAATCCCCCAGGAGAGGAGCGGGATAAGGCGCAGTCGCAGTCGCGGTGCGGCACCGTCCCTGCAGGGCGCTGGTTGAGCTGTGCCAGGCGCTGGATGCTGGGCGGCACCGTGAGTGCTGAGGGGAGGAGCTGGGGAGCGGCTGGGAGATGGATGGGAGCAGAAGGCCTCCAGGGAGGCTTTTATCAGTGACTCTGCCCTTGGGTCATTCCCTGCCCTCCCTGCCTGAAAGCCACAGAGTGCTCAGAAAGCTTTTTTTTTCCCCTCCAATTGCTGCCGGCAGATGTGGAGGGAGGCGGCGTCTCCTTTGTGCCAGGTTGGAGCATTTGACCTGGTGGCCATTCACAGCATGATATTTGCAAAGAGGTTAAAAATTAAAAAAAAACCGAAACAAACAAACAAAAAAAACAAACAAACAAAAAAAACCCAAACCAAAACAAAACCACACCAAAAAAAAAAAAACCGGAAAAAAAAACCCAAAAATTGAAGCTTTACTGTCTGTGGTATTGCAGCTATTTTCACCAGAGCAGTTAGGGGAGGGTCTGTCAAGAAAGGATTTTTTTTCCAAGGACGCCTTTCCTTCACTCCTGTGTAACCAGTTTTGTAGGTTCACACCCTCTGGGCTCTTCAGGTTCCCCCCGAGCTGTTTTCTGCTGAGGCACTGGGCAAGGTGATGTGTAGGAGAGACAGGATGAGGAAGAGGACCAGACTAAGATCAGCACCGTGTGTGTTTGGGAACTGTTTCTGTGTTTGGGAAGACATCAGCCCCAGGTTTTGTGTTCAGCAGACTGCCCACAGAGGCTTGTGTTGGTGCTTGCTATTTAATGACCCAGCCCTGTTTCATGGGCTGAGGGGGGAGGTTGGTAGCAGGTGCAGGTCTCAGAGCTGGCCGGCCAAGCCCCCAGCCCTCAAGTTCCCTGAACCTGTCTCCAGCTGCAGGGATGCAGCCCAGCTGCTCTATCCTGCCCCAGCAGCTGTTTGAGTTCTTGCACAGAGCATGGCAGCCCTGTGGTGTGACAGTGGTCCCAGCCACATGGATGTGCTGCTTGGCATTCAGTTCCCCAGCCCTGGTGGCCAACCCAACCTCTAGGTGATGACATGCTCCTGTTTTGGAGGTGAGCAGCTGGCTCTAGGGCAGACATGCACTTGTGGATCATTTTTATCTGTATTTCAGGTAAACAGGGAGGTTTACCAGTTTTTCCCCAAGAAATTTCTACTTTTTCATGCATTTGTTTGCACACCTCTGGTAGCCTCAATCAGACCATGAATGATGATGATGTATAATTTCCCAGGAATAAGGAGTTTTAGAATGAAGTTTTAAAGATTTTCAGTATTCAGCCTGGTCAACCTTTTGCATTAAAAAAGAAATAAATCTATCATGACTTCTAGTATGATTTGTGTATCTTGTTAGAGAAAAAAATTTTTCATAGGCTTGTTGTCTCCCAGGTATCTGTGTAGCACCATTGTTTTTATTACTGGGATCTGTGATCTTCATCTGATAACCTGGACTCATTGGAAGGAATTATGTTGTGTGGGAATGATCATTTGGCCTTGATGCACTGTCAAGGAGCATAATCTTAAAAGCATGTAAAAATAGAGCTGCACACTGGAGCATGTGCCATTTCCTGGGGAAGTGTCTGGGTGGGTGGGAAAGCAGCAAAATGGGAGTGCTCAGCTGTAAGCAAAGCCAAGTGATGTTCAGTTGAACATTGCCCATAGTTCAGGGTCTGAGGAAACACCAGTTGCGCTTTGTCTGTTAGTTAGTTTGCTTCTTGGGAGGTTACTGGATTTTTCATGTTTTTTGTGGATTTTTCATGGTGTCATCACGTGCTAGTGGACAGTTTGTGCTCTGATGGGACATGTGGTCTCTACTTGCTCCCAGGAAAGCTGCTAAATGGAGGCTTACACAGAGCTGTGCAAGAGCTGTCCAGAGGTATCCAACACTCCTGGATCCCCCCTGGAGTACCTCAGGGCCAGAGAGTCATTAGGAATGGCCATCAGAACTCTTCTGTCCAAGCTATACAATCACACAAACAAATTCATCTTCAGCTGAGTGTTGATGAGGGTCTTCAGGGCAGAACACTCCAGCAAAGTACGAACTTTTTGTGTTTCCCAGTCAGAATACACTTCATTCCTCCATGTGAAGACAGATCTAGATGGCTGTCTTATAAAATATCCCTTAATAAAAATGGTTTAATGAGTTATTGTTTTGGACTTCAGAAACTATTGTACTAAAGATGCTAACAGCTGGTGTTTACTATGCTTGGCAGATGACAACCACAAAAATGGGCTTTACACCATCCTGAAGAGGATAGAAGTGAGGTTTGTTGTACTTTAGGTCTTTTACACTGAAGACTGAAGTTCAACTCTGAATTGTTGTGCAAACTTATAGACGTGTTTAAGGTTAAACTGTAGTCTCTTGATTCTCAAATCATTAAACTGTGATTTCTTGTCCTCAAATCATGGAACTAGCTGGGCCACTTAGACTCTTTCTGCTGACACAAATAGGTAAGTAAGTAATCTGTAGCACAGTCCCCTTGCTTCACAGGCTCTTCTACCCAGCTGCCATGTGTGTGAGTGCCTGCAAGCTCTGATTAGTTCATGCTAAAGATATGTCAATGTGGACCATATTTGTCAGATAGAAATAGCCTCTGTTTCTGTTTCCACATTGCAAAATCAGAAATCAGTGAGATGCTTTATGTTTGGGTTGTTGCAAACTGTTACCATTCACCTGTTTCTTTCCATTTATTCTGTATTCATATTTAAGAAATTAAGGAGCCTCCCCTTTGTATAATGGGAACAAATAACAGTACTTGATGCACATTTGTATTTCTTCACACTGCTTCCCAAAAATCAGAGGCATTTGTATAAATTGACCAAAGGTCTTAAACCACACTGATCAACAACTAAATCAACCCTAAGAAAGAGGCATAAAGGTAAAAAAACCACAAAACACCAAATACCAACCATTATACAGAACAACGTTACACCAGTTTTACATAAAATATTTGGGAGTGTTAATCTGGTAAAATATTGAGTGGTGAGACATTCTCCAGTACCTAAGTCTATGAGTTACTTAAATTATTAATTCAAACACATGGTCACCAGAAATTTTAATTTCTGCTATATCATTCCTTGCTTATTAGGCACTGGAATGATACAGTCATTCAGGATGGATACACACAGTTCTAGCCTAGAGTTGTACTGTGCTGAGCTGCATGTAGAAATTTCTTAAGCTTGCAGTGTTATGGAAACCTAAAAAAACCCAGTTTCCTTCCTTTTTATTTTATTAAAAGATTATTATAAGTAATTTTAAAAAATCCTAGCTTTTTAGAACACCTGTGACAGGAGCAAGTCCTGTAATTCATAACTGGCTATTAAAAAAATTGCAGCACAATATAAAGGATTTAAAACAAGAATGATGAGAAAGAGGAAGAAGGAAAAAGATGGTTTCATTTATAAATTCTGTGCTTGAAATGTGGGGTTTTAGCTTTATTTTTTATTCAAGAGTAGTGGTAGATCTTTCAGGAAAATCTTGGTTTGTGCATCATGTAAGTTGTATTGGTGGATGGTGAAGTTAGTACTGGTGCTTAGCCATCTGCTGGTTAATGTCTGGGAATCCTAAAATGTCAGGACACTGCGGATGCTGCAATATAAAATGACAAGTTAGTGACTAGAAAATCCCCAGGGCTGGCCTCAGCAGAGCACTGCTGTTTTCTCTGATAATCTGTGCTATTGCTGTCAAACAGGTACTCCCTCCCTGCCTGCCCCCACCCCAGCTTGCAGCAAAATGACAGAATAGATGTGCAAACTTTGCTGCAGATGTAGAGAACAAAATTCACAGAAGACTGCAAAGCCTTCACTGATGATGCCCAGGGCTCCTGGTAATTAATTACCAGCTACAGCCAGAGAAGTTCCTCAGAGAGGGGCTTAGACACATCTTTCCAATTACAGAGTAACTGGTACAGCTTATTCTGCTCTGAAACACTGAAGTATTATACTCCATAAAAATTATAAGCTGCAATGTGCCTCCATCTTCAGGCTGACTATCGGTATCTTAGCAAAGCTGCAGGCATCTCAGTCCTCACCACTTTCCTGTTTGTTATACTAAAAACTAAAACTAGCATTTGTAGCCTATGTAAAATAAAAGACAATCAAAGATGAAGTGTGTGCTGCATCATTAGAACCTGAGAACAAACCTCAGGGCTGAAATTCTTCTGTTACTTGCTTTTTATATTCAGAGCAAGGAACATCTAAAACAACTGCTAGCAAATGACAATTAAAAGAAAACATTAATGTAATTCTCCAGACTCTGTAAGTTATAAACATCTAGAACTTTCAAAACGGGTAGCCCCCAAACATACTAAGATATACAAATGTATTTCCTACTTCTGCTAGGGACAATTTTCAATTCCCATGGTAAGTTTTGTCAAATGTCTCTGTTAAAAAATATTTCCAATTCCATTACCCTATGAAAACAGTCTGAGCTGAATTTTCACAATATTTGAGGAAAGCACAAGAGGTAAATTCTGAGTTTTCAATGCATATATATATATATATACCAAACACTTTCCTTTTTTAAAAGCTCTGATCCTCAAGCTAAAGTACCCAGTGACTTTAGGACCAATTGGACTGGGACTCCATTCCCTAACTCACAAGAGGAATAGGCCATTTCTGTGTTCCTGCTCCTCATCCTGAAATGTTTCTTGGAATATGGATATGACAACTTGGCACTCTACAGCTTGGCACTCCCATGCTCCCTTGGTTGTGTGCTTTTTTTCCAGTGGGTACTGGGACTTCCTCAATTGTGTAGTCTTTTTTCCCTCTGCCACCCAGTGTCTCTGCTCAAACTAGAATCTGAAATTTCCTCTGCAAGGGCCTGCTGCATTTCAAAAACTGAAGGTTTGCTGGCTTTATTACTCCAGCTGCAACCCATGGGAACACACTGGGAGGAATTAAGGGACACGCTGGGCTGCCTTCCCATTCTCTGCTGTGAAGTCAGACTTTGTCTTACCACACATCTCCTTTAGGTTAGTTATACAGAACCTTTACAATGAATGATGTTTACCTCTTTCCTGTCCTTAGAAGATCAAATCCTTCATTGATCTTTGTCAAAGGTAGTGTGTGGGTTATTAATGGATCCAGAACAAACTTTTTCTTCATATAGTCAGCAACCAGTTTGGGAACTGCATCTTTACTCTTCCAGCCTGAAAAAAAAACCCACAGAAAATGCATAATGAAATTAAATGCTTCTGAAAATACATAAAACCCAAGGCAGCCTAGATTTTTAGATAAACTTTCTATAGCAGAGTAATAGGATGAAATGTGGCAGCATGGTTTTACCTTTGTAACACAGGTGCCAGCAGAAAACATGGGATAGAGTGCAGCTAATCCACATATGACGAACCCAGCAGAAGACCAGTACAAATGTCAGTCTTTACAGAATCCAAACTTTCCCCCACATCAAACACTGTTTTAACTTAATCACATTTCATACAAAAGCCAGAGTGCCATCATCCATGTCGGTAAGTTGAAACTTGATTGTCTGCTTGAAACTGGGGAGTGGGTGGTGGATGTGTCTCTCTTTTCTTACAAGCACCGCTAGATAAAGCTGTCATAAATAGTAGAATGCTCTTCCAGAGGATCCTGATTTGTCTCTTCTGTTTTATTCAGGTATCTTTTGATTACATGAGGGGAACAGGTTACGAGTGAGAAAACCTGTTATTGGAAGCAAGTTTTCTGTGGCCTTTGAGTTGAGCAAGCTAGGACTTGCTGAGTGTGGGACTGCTGAGAGAGCTCCAAAAAGAGAAAGAATGGGAAGGGACTGTTGACAGCTGGCCAGGGGCTAAACTGGGGTCTGACCTCTGTGGAAATCAGCTGAGTGTAAGCCCTGATGTCCTTTACAGTCCTGACTCTCCATCTCTCTCTTTCGATTGCTCTCATTCTCCTTTTTGCACTTGCTCTTTTTCTCCCCTCCCTCTGTCCTCTCTCCCTCTTTATGATTTTCTCTTCTTTTTGTTGATTAAACTTCTATCCTTTATCTCCTCTTAACTCTCTCCTTATCTTTTTTCTCCTCTTTATTTTTATCCAACCTCCTCCCTCCTCTTCCCCTCATTTTATTTTTTTGCTTCTCTCCCTTTTTTCTCATTTTCCTATTTTCTGTCTATGTCTCTCTTTCTTTCTGTCTCTTATTCTCTTCCCTTTCTTCCCCCTCCCTCCCTCTCTGGTTTTTTCCTTCCTTCACTTGCTATTATAGTTCCCATAATTAATTCCCTTTCAACTTCCTTATAAGCAGAACAGCCATCAATACTGCTTCCAATAACACAGCCTAAGCAATTAATTTGATGTATCCTGTTTCATTCACAATGATTTACAAGTTTCTCAAGCCAGTTAAATGACATCTTTCCAAGTCCTTACCTCCAAAGACAGAGCCTTTCCAGCTGCGACCAGTGAAGAGGAGCATGGGATCAAAGGTGATATTCTGTGCTGCAGGGGGCACTCCCACAATCACACTGACTCCGTAGTTACACTGACAACAGGCCAAGGCTGCAGTCTGCATTAGAAACAGAGGGACACGCAGAGTCAGGCAACATTTGTCCTTGGGGCACAGAAATTTGAACTCCATCTCCTCCTCTCAGGGCTCTCCTTGAAATTAATTTTTTGTAACTGAAACCACATAAAAAATTGTTCATTGTATCTGCTCACACCATTGTATCTGCTCTCACTGGTTAAGTATATCCTAGCTTTGCTCTTGTCGCCCATTTTGTCTAAACTATTAGTGATAAGCCACTTTTAGAGGGCATGTGAAATATGTGACATGTAGCCACCCCGGTTTGGCCAGGGCACTAAAGTGAAATTCCCTTTCCTAAATTTCTGAGCATGCTTCTATCCCTGCATCTAGTGGCCACCAGCTGCACTTAACAGGTTTGAAGTTAGCTTGGTACTCTGCCAGTGGCTTCCTGCTCCTCCTGGGTGTTTGGTGAAGGGAGAGCTAATGGGTCTCACTTCATCTTTTGGTTGCATACCATGGTATCTGTACGGCCGATGACCTCGAAGGAGTAGTCCACACCCCCGCCGGTCATTTCCATCAACACCTCCTGGATGGGCTTGTTGAAATCTTTAGGGTTGATGCAGTCAGTGGCTCCCAGCTCCCTGGCCTTGGCAAACTTGTCACTGTTGATGTCCACGGCAATGATGCGGGCAGCTCCAGCTGCCTTGCAGCCCATGACAACAGAGAGGCCAACTCCTCCGAGGCCAAAGACGGCACAGGTGGAGCCTGGTTCCACCTATAATAACAACCATGTAAACATATTGTTACAGGCTAAGGAAAGTACCATGCATTTCCTCATTATCAACATGATTTCATTTAAGCCACTTCTTGCAATTTAGAGATTACCTGCTGAGAAGGAATTTGCACATGGATACCTGCTAGTGCAGTAACCAGCTGTACTGTTATAATGCTACATGCGATTCCTAGACTTCAGTTATAATATTCAGTTATAATACTCAGTTATAATAAAAAAAAAAGAACTCTGTTGCAACATTTTTCTAGCAGTGATAAAGCTCTGAGGCAAAACATTATAGATGGTAATAAGCAATTTTACTGGATTTTGAATTGAAGATTTCTGAGTACCCTAGAGACAGAATCTGAAGTAAGCAAAGAACTAGTATCTTATCTCCACGCTGAACTAAACAGAGTCTCTACCTCCTCACTGCCATGCTGACAACCCACTTACAGGCTACACAATCTTGAATAGACACCATAAAATATCAGAAACACCCACCATAATATTTACCTTGGCAGTCTGCAGAGCAGCCCCATAACCAGTTGAAAATCCACAGCCAATTAGACAAACTTTTTCCAGAGGAGCAGCAGAATCGATTTTAGCTACAGCAGATTCATGCAGTACTGTGTATTCAGTGAAGGTACTTGTACCAATAAAATGGTAAATTGCTTTTCCTTTACAGGTGAATCTGGTGGTGCCATCAGGCATTAATCCAGCACCTGTAGCAAGGCTGTTTGAAAGATGACCAGAAATAAAGGCAAGTGAAATTTGTTGCTTGTAATCAGTTTTGGATAAAGTCAAATCAAATTAGGGTTGCAAGTAATCCAAGAAAACTCACTCAGTTTTACTGCACAGGTTACCCTTGGTGTTTAAGCATGTCTTGCACTCCCCACATTGTGGAACAAAGAGTGGAATAACCTTGTCTCCTAGAAATAAAACAGTAATGACAGAGGATTAAAAAAAGAAAACAAGATGCATGCAGGTAAAAACATGAAGCAAGTGTATTTAATCCCCAGGCAAACATGCACTAGGAATGCAGTGATGGTTTTATTTCTTTCTGCTGCATTTGTAAGATAAACCATCTCTCTGTGTTTTATATGAAAGACATAATTAGGGCAAAGTTATGACAACTAATTTTGATATGCAAAATTTTTGGTGTCTTTCAACAGAACTGAGTCAGACCTATGTTATAAAACCACGTTATCTACTGACACTTCTAAAGTACTTCTTCAGCAGTTTATTGCATCTCCTGTGTAAAAAGAAGGTAGTAATACACCTTCTTTCATTAAAGAAACTGAGATAAAAATTGACATCCACTAGGACAGCAGATTGGAGTGCCAAGATAACAGGGCTGTAAACCATGCATACAAAGAATGGGGAATTAAATATTCATTTCCCAGTCCTTTTGAACATCTTTATATAGCAGTCTATGACTGCTATATAGCAGTCCTATTAGTGTTGTGTTGAGTAAAGGTAGGTAAAATACTTGTCTGAGAAGCAGTGGCACACAGTCTAAGCCAACATCTCTAATTCTCTAGCATAATTATGTGATTAACAAAGTAGAACATAGCTTCCCAGTGTAATTTTTTACTCCTATGCAATTTCCACAGCAATGATATATCGTAAATGCCTAATAATCTCTAAACAGGTATTTCCTAATGCATATCAGTTTATAATTTGTCAGTTTTAAAATGTGGCTAATCCTTGACACATTGAAAGTCAAAGCAAGTTTTTGATTTCCACCAAAAAATGAAAAATACCTACAGAACATTAAACACCCCCACTACCTCGACCCTGAGTTAATTTAGAACTGTGCTATGGTCTTAGTAATCGTTTTGCTAAAGGAATGTTGCACAAGTGGAAGTCTTTTTTTCAGAACTTGGAGGTGTAAATTAAGCAACATCTGAGAAATGTGATTTGTGCATATATGTGTTCAGGCCTGCTATTTCAGCACACCTGGAAACACAGGGCAGCAATAATTAGACAACAGAGAGATTTATGAACCCAGACATAACAGAAAGTACAGCTAGAGCTGTCACTGAAATTTGCAATATACATATGTGTTTGAAGTTAAAGCAGAAATCTCTAATAAATTTTTTTGTTATACATACCAACCTGCTTTGGACAGACTTCATACATGTCAGTATGGACAAAGATACCAGAAGTACAGAGGTTTTAAAAGTGAGCTACTGAGGTATCATAACAAACTGCCTGGAAAGTGAGTGATTCTGTGTAGATTTTTTTCACTGCATACTTTCTCTTAATAATTTAGCCTTTGTTAGAATGTTTTTGGTCCTATAAAAGTGTAGAGGAATCCCATCTCATCTTGCAGCACTTGACTGAAAATTGACATCTTTCACTATCTGTGCACTATGGTTCAAAGAGAACACAGGGAGATGAGCAGCTGGTCCAGATGAGTGTCCTCAGAGCAATCCAGTCCTCAGGGAGCAGTGCTGCCTCACCTGCACTGGTGTTGCCCACATACAAAGCCTGCACCAGCGTGGGCACCCCAGTTGTGCCCTGATGCTTTTAAAGTGAAGTAAGATCTAAGTTCAGGTCAACTGAAGTCAATGGATTATTTAGCTGCTAAGAGAATTAAAAGGTGCTTTGACATGTTTGTCATCTAGTGCTTTGCTTTGCCTTATTCTTGAAAAAGGTGAGCTGTATAAACTGTGTTCAGAGAACCTGCAGCTAATGCCTGATTTCATATGAACAACAGCAACGACTCTATGTTCTTAGCCCCACAACAGGAAAAGCACTATGTAGGTGGAAAGCAAGCTGCAGATGTTTTTTGCCAAAAACAAAAGAAATTGAGTAGAAAATCTGAAAGTACGTTGGGGACACAGAAAGGCGTAAACAGCAGGTTTATATCCTTTGAGGTATCCTTGAAAATGTTTAAATTGGAATATTTTTCCGTGCAGTAAAAATACTCACAAAAGAAATAATCTTTGACTTAAGGAGGAGTCTGGAAACTCAGCACAGGATTTGTTTTTGGTGCTGTTTCATACCTGGCTTGACTGAAGTCACTCCCTGCCCAACACTCTCCACAACACCAGCTGCTTCATGCCCAAGAATTATTGGAAAAGGCATAACCAGTGCACCAGTTATCACATGGTCATCAGAGCGGCAGATCCCAGTGGCCATGATCTGATTCACAGGAAAGACAAGGATATTTCTGCATTTAACTGTGTCATGTTATATGTGAAAGTGAAATTATATTCGACATTTGGAGAAGCCACTTGCTTCTCTCCAAAATCCAATCTGCACACAATAAATCTACAGGTAAAACAAATTTAGTTGCCTGATTTAAGATTTTCTTGGTGTTTATTAGTCTTTAATCTATAGGGCAAAGCTCCTTTGTGAATGTTTGCTATGCAGTACTGAGCTCTATAGGGAGTCTGGAGATTTTCTGTATTTTCTGTAGAACTAATGTTCTAGCGAGGCAATTATATAGGGAGAACAGAATAAATTAAATTATTCCTATTATTTATATATAAATACTTAAAAAGAAAAGTGTGAAATATTTTATAAAAGTATAATAATATGTAAATACAAACTAACCATCACATATTATTTATAAACATAGAAATATTGTGTATATTTTGTATTTATTACATTAACGTTATATGACAATATATAATAGATATTATATATGAATGATGCATTATAGAATGAGTTTATATTATAGATAATTCCACAATAAATATATTATTGTGCTGTGTACATATTTAAAATATTTGTATATATAACATGAAAAAAAATTAAGCTACATAGTGTTTTATACGACATTTTGCCTTTTCTTCCAGCTAGAACAGCACTATTTCTTTTGAAATATTCATGTATGTGTTTACAACTTTTATTCTGACAAACGGATTTGTCAACCCCATGAGAGGGTTTTCCTCACATGTGTAACAATTGAAACTGCTCAAAAATTAAGGCAGCTCCTAAATTCCACTGAGGGCAATATCCAGGTAAAAAAGGAAGCTCCCAGGCCTATTGAGCTATTTCCTAGCACAGATTTAAACAAAGTAAAAGATATTTTCTTGCTCCACACTACAGGAAATTCTGATTTTTGCCTTGTGCTGTAGTTTTTTCAGCCTATTAGAAAAACAGATGTCAATAAACACAAAATACAACCCTAAAAATATATATTTTTAAAGAACCTCATTATCAAATTAAGGACTTGTTTCATAGGAGCTCACTGATTAGTAACTACTTTCTAGTAGAATGTTTTCTGACTGGGTCTTAAAAATTTACAAAACTAATTCTGATTAAAAGCAAGATATGATGCAAGTCATAGGAGTTGTTTTAAATTTTATTTTCAGTACCTTTACGCGAACTTCATGTTCTTTTGGTGGGGCAACTTCCACTTCCTCAATACTGAGTGGTTTATTGGCTTCCCACAGCACTGCTGCCTTGCATTTAATAACCTGCAAACAGAGAAAAGAAAATGAGAACGGCACTTGCATTTTCAAGTCACCACACAGATTCTTCCCTTTTTGCGTGTGAAACTCCTGCTCATATTTGTGGAGACGAGAGGGAAACTACAGGAAAGAAAACCAAACCAAACAACAACAAAGTCAACACCAAAGGTCAGTGTGTTGTAAGCCTGTTTTTCCCCCCACCAAGATCATGTCTGATTTTGCTCATCATTCTGTCACATCAAGTTTTCAGCTGCATGTCTAATAGTCTCATAGGTAATGTAGGTAATGGGATACCTCACCCATTCTCATTGCTCCTTTGTTAACTTCCTTGGGCAATTTCTTTTGCTGTGTTGGATTACTTGTCTGCATTTGTATCTTCTTAAAGATGGCACACTAAACAATGTCACTTATCAGGCTGTGATGAAGTCTGTATTGCCGAGAACTGTCTGTGTTGGGAACTGACAAAATTGCTAAAAATTGAATTCAGAGCCTAGTACAGATTTATAATCATTCTAGTAGAGCCCAAGTTCAGCCATGAAGTGATGGCTGAATGGACCTGTGCAAAGTGATGTAGCACAACACAGAGGTAATCTTGAACAGTCCCTTTAAGTGCAGTATTATCCATGCTAAGGTACCCCCTTCTCAGAAGGGATATTTAACTCAGGTGGATTTACTACCCAACTATCCAACATAGTTTGTTTTTTTTTTTTCATCTCTTGGACTGAAGTTTGTCCATTAACTCTTCAGGCTTTGTCCTGGTAATGACAGTCCTTAGGGCTCCTCTGACCATCTGCCACTGAGAGAAAAATCCCTTCAGAAAAGAGAAGAGCATTGTCCACTGTCGGAATCTGTGGGTTTTGATGATTCCGAGATTGTAAAAAGTCTCTGTCTTTCTGCCCCATTGCCAAAGAAGAAGCCATAGTTCGTCTGTGCTGTTTTCAAGGTTGTTTATTCTTGCTTATCTCTAACATGTTCTGCTGCCCTGCCGCAGGTCTGTCCTGCAGGGCAGCGTGTGGGGCTCTGCCCCTCAGTGGGATGTTACAAACATTATATACCAGAAACTACCTGTGCTATATTTACAATAATGTGCCAATATCTATCATCTACGTTGAATAGTGTGTCCCCAGCCTAAACCAATAGAAAAATGCCAACACTACAGTGAAACATGGAGGGCATGAAGAAGGAGGAAAAGGACAAAACACACCCAATTTCCTCCATCTTGTCCCCTCTGAACCCCTAATCTAGAATCCTAAAATTTAACTTTTGCACCCGTGCCACACTTAATTATTACTTATATCAAACACTCAGAGCTTGTAATTCATCCTGTAAGATTGAAAACTCCTCTCCATGGACAGAGATCACAGACAGTGTCTCTCGGGGCTCTGTACAGGGGGGTTCCTGACCCCTGCCAGGGTCCCAGACCTACCAGGGCAGCCAGAGGGAAGCCCTGGATTCCCACAGTCCACACCTCATCCCAGTCTCTCAAACAGGTTTCCTCCCTGCAAGCTCAATCCTAGTATATTCAAAAGCAGTGGGACCTCTCTGTCCCCATAATTGCTATTCCTCCTTGGAGTTGTTTAAAGATCTCATCGTCGGTCTTTAAACAACCCTAGTCCCTGAAATATGATTTTCCTGGGTGACACACTATAAAGTCCTCAGTCATTCTGTTACGTATACTGACTGCAAGTGTTCAGGTGGCATTATCTTGAGAAGGAAATGGAGGGGAATCAAATCCAGGATGCAAAAAGTTCAGCACATGCATGTTTATCCTGTGTGACCAGGACAACTTAACACCAGTGTGCTGCAAAAGTCACAGGGGAAAACAACAAACAAATTTTTTTTTTTTTAAGTAGAAGTAGAAATAATGTCTGATTATCCACAAATTGAAAACTGGCTACAAAGAAAATAATTATTAGGAAATTCTAAACATATGAAATAAAATAGCAAACTTCTAGCAGCTAGACACAGAAGTGGGATGGGCACAGTGCTTTGAAAAAAAGTGCATCAAGAGATATTTGCACTAAATTTAAATTTAATGTTTAGATACACGTGTGATTAGTGAAAAATTCACAAGTGTGGTCAAAAATCACATTTCAAAGGGCACCAACTTACTTAAAAGAAAGGCAGTAGATATATATTTATATTGCATCCCACATAACACAGTGATGATTCCATGACTTGCACATGCTAAGCACATGTAGTGTTTCTAAGAAAAAAGGTGGCCAAGAAGTGTGGATTGCCGAGAGCAAACAAATCTTTCCTATAATAAGACATTAGTTAACTGTGTGTTTTTCTGACTGTTTAGTCCCTGTGAGCTTTCATGGATTGCAATAGGATCCCGCAGATGCAGCAACAGCACATTATCACCCACTTCATCTGCTAAAACAAGCACTGCCTTAATAGTTGTTTTTCTGCTCGTGTGTTCTACCAGCCCTGTGAGTTACTGCAGTGGGGGAGGGCAGGTGTAGAAACGCACCCTTTTACAGGACAAAAGGATTATGCTGCTTGGCTACATAAATTCTAACTCTCGTGTTATTCCAAGATAAACATGGTGAAAGCAAAGCAGTTAAGCTACATCAGAACCCTTAATATACTGTGCTACATCCAATGCTGAGTAGAGCACTGAACTTGGTGAACTTACCTACAGTAAGCTACAATTAATTTTGCACTTGCAGTAACTCAAAGAGCATTTTTTCCCTTTCTCGTTTCGTTTTAGAATAGTGAACACAACTGGCAGTAACAGCAAATGATCTTGGTACTATCTTAAGGCACGTTCTAGAAAGGAGCGTACTTTCAGTTGTTTTCCATTTCTAGTTGCTTGTCCCTTAATCCCTTTTGCAGGTCACTGTTAACATATTGCCAGCAGTGCAAGAAGGAACATGTATTGGTATCAACCTCCATCTCTCTTGCCATCTAATTTCTAGCAAAGATGTAACTACTCACTTCAATCCCAGCTCAGTATTGCATTATATGTGAAATTTACTTCTGGTCTTTGTTAACTAACGCTTGAGACCTGTTATATGCATATCCAAATTTAATGACTGTCCTAATGCCAGCACAATTCACCCTGAAATTTAACACAATATTAGCTACATCTTCTTTTTAGAAAACAAACTGATAGAATAATAAATAAACTAAAAATAGTTTAAACTTCTGTAGGATCTCAGAATGGAAACTGGTAGATAAATACATTGATCTAAACACTTAGTACATTCTATCATATTTTAAACTATCCAATCAGAGATTAAAAACAGCTTGCTAACCCAAACAGAATGTTATTCTAGTGCTGTTATTTTATGTTGCCTCAAATGAACTATTGCCTTGAAGAGTTAACAACCATTTCCTAGGATTCTACGGCAGCCTGCAAATAAAGGCAGCTCTTCTGTACCAGCTTCATCCTAAACTCTAATCGGTGCTATACCACCAGGATTTACAATGTTCCTGCAAAGAATTCACATTTAAAAATGCATTACTCAACTGCAGCAAAGAAATTTTCCTAATACAAACTCATGCTTACTTTGCCTGCCGTGCTCATGTTGACTGGTGTGTCTGTTTCGAATCTTGCCACCGCTGATTTCTTGCACCAAGAACTGAGTCACCCCCAGAGCAGCTGGGTTGCTGGTACTACAAGTCGTCTCCAGGACACTGGAGCCTGGTTGTGTGAAGCACTCCTGCAAGTGAACTGTTCTGATCTTTAAGCCAAACCTCCCAGCTCAGAGTCCCACCCCTTAATCAGAAAAAGTGCTAGAACGAGAGTGAACCACTCATCTGATGAAACCTCACTCTTTCAGTGCCTCCATCTTCACTGACTCCTTTGTCATGCTCTTCCCTACCATTTTTTGCAGCCCACCTGTAGTTGCCCAAAAACAACAGCCCTGGCTGGAAGCTATTTCCCTTTTTCCACCTCCCTGGAAGCTCATCTCCGAACCCAGTACTCTCAGGGGCACTGTAGGTGCGAAGAGAAATGGAGAGAGTGGCTCTTGAATTCACAGCAGCAGGGACACAGTGAGAACATGAAGACTTTGCTGATGAACTTTGCTGATACTTGTAAGAGCCCAGCTCACTCATTAAAACATGGGATTGTGCAAGCTGCTTAAGAAACACACTGATTGTGTGGCTGTGGCTGTATCTCACTGAATACTCCTGAATACTTCAGAATTCTAAGTTTTACAGTCTGGCTAATCATTAATCTGTTGGAATGGCCTTTTTTTTTTTTTTTTAACATAGAGATATTTTTGTTGTTGCTAAGCATGGTTTATAGAGCTAAGACCTTTTATGTGTTTCATATGGCCACGCTGGTGAGGAAATTGGGGGTGGTGCATGGGCGGCTGGGAGGAGACATAGCCCAGACAGGGGACCCAAACTGACCAAAGGGCTGTACCAGACCACATGACATTATGCTCAGTATATAAAGTGGGGGAAGAAGGAGGAAGGTGTGGCTATTTGGAGTGATGGCATTTGTCTTCCCAAGTTACCATTACACATGGTGGGGCTCTGCTCCCATTAATGTATTTATAGAAACATTTTTTATTGTCTTTAATGGCAGTAACCAGATTAAGATCTTGTTGAGCTTTAGCCCTTCTGATTTTCTCCCTGCAAAAACTCATAACATCCTTATAATCCTCCTGAGCTCTCAGCCCTTTCTTCCAATGGCCATAAACTCTCCTTTTTTGTTCCGAGTTCCAGCCTAGTGATTTGAACTTCCTAAAAGAACTTGTATCAGAATGAAGTATTTCTAGCCCACTCTATCCCTTGACGTTCATCTTTCTCCTTTCCTCCCTTCTTTTGTACTTGATTATTTTAGAGGTCTTTTCCAACCATTCCCATCCCTTTTCCTTACTGGTTTATTTCTCATATCCCTTTATGTTTCCTTTCCCCTCAAAACTTTCCTCAAATCTTTAGCTATATGCATATCAAGGCCATGACTTTTTTTACTCCAACTGAGAACACTGGATCCTGTCTGCAGCCTGTGCAGGGATAGGTGTCATGGTCTTTAGGCAAAAGGTGACAAGAATAGAGGCTGCACAGGGTTCCAGTGAAGCACGAGCAGACTTGCATAACCATGTTGCAAAAGTTGCTTTATTTGCCTTGCTCTGCCCAATTCTTAAAGATAAATGAGGGTGAGGCTCCAGCTCAGGGCATGCAGTGGCCTGGCATGCAGGGAAACCACAGTGCTATCCCTTCACAACTTGCTTGCACAGACCCTCGGCTGAACCCTTTGCCAGAAAATACTTAGCTGATCCCTAGACCTCTCCACTTTTAGGGCTGTTCACTATGAAGAGAATTTTTCTCTACGTTTATCTGCAGGTTGTGCAATTAAAATCTCTTCTTTCGGGTGACCAGTGACATGACCCAAGGGGATGGCATGAAGTTGTGTCAGGGGAGGTTTAAGTTGAATATTAGGAAAAGGTTTTTCAGCTAAAGGATAGTTGGGCACTTGAATAGGCTCCCCAAGGCAGTGGTCACAGCACCAGACTGACAGAGTTCAAGAAGGGTTTGGATAATGCTCTGAGACACAGGGTGTGACTCTTAGGGCTGCCCTGTGCAGGGCCAGAAGTTAGACTTGGATGCAGGTCCCTTCCAACTCAGGATAGCCTATAATTCTATGGAGATATGATGCATAATTCCTTTATTGGTTTTTAATCTCACTTTATCCAACTGAACATGATGCAGTAATATCCCCTCTCTAGTGATTTATTAACCTCAGCAGATGCCAGTGAAATGTGTGTCAGAGGCTGAAGACAAAGGAGGTGTTCATACTGGAGGTGTTCATGGCTGGTGAGCCTGCGCACAGAAGTTAGAAGCAGTGGGCAAAGGCCGGTTTTTGCAACTCCAGGTTATCTTCACTTGGGAACCGTAACTTGGCAAATGTTATGAAACACTGACCACGCTCAAGACATTATAGCCATAGCTACAGTTTCTGACTACAAGGCACTTGTAGGGGAAAGTGGTTCTTTACTGCCACTTCACAGGCAGCACAGCCTGCTTCCCACTCCTTACTCTGGCCAGGGCTGAGCAACCTTGCATTCATTGCTTGCCTGAAGAAGTGCATGATGTTGACTCCAGCTGAAGAAGTGCTTTCTGAAACATCTTTATTTTAATGGAAAAATAGTTCTCCACTGAACCTGGCTCTATTTAACAGGGAACTACTTTAACTACAGCTCAAGTTAAATATACCTAACTCTTTAGAGGAAAAAAAAAGCTTTTAATGGCAGTTATGCATCACAGAGTTTACTGACAACTATACATTCTGTCCTACAAATAATAAAATGCATACTAGCTTTAGCTAAAACTTTAGTATTTCTAAAAATAGGCTTATTCTTCCTTATCTACCATGTTGATATTTAAGTTTACCAAGGTACCTTTCTTTCTTTCAGACAGTGAAGTTAGCTGTTAAGAAAAATAAACTTTCTGGAGGGTGTTTAAATTGAAAATCCAGCATTTCTTCCTACTGTGTGATAGCAATTTCCAAGTTACCCTCTTATGAGTCACTTCTGAAGAACGTGGTAACACAAAAGCTCTGGGACACACATGTTAGTAGAAGATAGGAAAAAAAGAGCAACATTTCTGAAGTCACACCCTACACAGTATAGAAGCTGTGATTGCTTCAATCCCTTTGTATTTTTCCATCTGCACATTTAAGGATGTCCAAAAGATTAGGTTTACAAAATACAAAACCCTGCAAGTGCTCATTGTTATTGAAGCACAGAGATTGAGCAGAACTAGCTAGCAGGGCAGGTTATGACCTTCAAAAAGTTTAGGGATCATATCTGAAGATTATACAAATGTGCATGACACAACAATGGAGCTGAATTAAGCACATATAGGATGACATCAGTTTTGTGAGAACATGAACAAAGGCATCCAGAAATAACACAAAGGAAATAAATCAAATATGCACAGGAAATAAATCAACTGCTCACAGGACAATGCCTTATTCGTTTTAGTAAGCTGAAGAAATGCTAAAGGTGAAAGATGTAAATTAGCTTGTGGGTTTAGAGCAAATATTAGAAGAATTTGAAGGGGAAAATAATATCCAAGGGGAGTACTCAACCAAGCATGAACACATCTTTTTAAAATAATGCCTTGTCTTCCTTTTAGGTCTCTTATCACAGCAAAACAAGGCAAACAAGAAATTAAAAAGCATGTCTTACATTACTTGAAGTAAAAATGCAGCAAAAGGGAATGACTATGAATCAAACATTTGATTATTTGGCTTTAGGATTGTCAGTAGTAGGTGCTGTTGTTCCAGCTAACAAAGCCACCTTCTTGGAAGAGAGACAATTAAGGTACACATTTCAAAATGGGCCAAAGTTTATTCAGCTTTAGATTTCGAAGTCACACTGCAGTCCATCTCTGCTTTTCAAAATAACTTATGGTAAGAAGAATGTGTGCTTACTGATAGCTTATTTTAAAACCCTCCTGCAGAATAATGGATACCTTACAATAATATGAACCTGTGATCTTCAGTGTGATCTACAGCACAGTCTGAGCAATATAAAGTTCTGTTTAAATCAAAGAAACACTGAACTCTTCAAACTTCCCTGACCTTATCCTCAAGCTTTAAGGATTTTAGGAATGCCACATTGGGCTCTCCTGCAGCTGGCAGTCACACTGCCCCAAGGCTGCCCTGAGTGCACGTGCCTTGTCATGCACACAGGATTTTGGAATAACCATCAGCATAGATCCCCTTGGACAGCTGCACCCCTCTGCAGCATGCCAGTGTGCACTGCAAAACCCACCATCGTTGTCAACTTTGAGACCAAAAGCCTCTAAGACAGGGCAGTTCAGAGAGGATCTTTTCTAATCAGATGCTCTTCTGCAGAGTCATGTCTAGAATCAAACACTACTGCTGCATAAGCAAACATAGGGTCAATGAGCATATATTATGACATGGGACCTGTGGAAGCCAAAGCAAGGGCAAATTGACCTGAATCCAGGAAATGGACAAGAAGGGGGAAAGTACAGTAACCTGCAGCAGTAGTGTTTGGGAAATTGTCACAACATGGGTGCACATAAACAGTGCTGAGGTTCTTGACTTCAGAAATCTGAGCCAAGGGGATTGGGGCTCAGTGGGAGGGGAACAAAACAACATGATTACATATGGCACCTTGCTGTGACCTCCCCACTGCATGCCACTAAAAGAAAGTTTGCCCATTTCAGTCAGAAAGTTTGACTTTCTGCCATATCCCCTTCATATTTTCTTTTCAGGTTCCTTGAGCCATACCTTCTTTACTGCCTTTTTAATGCTTTACTACACAAGTTTAAAGATCTCTGGATGTATTCTGCTACCCAGCATTGCTGAGCAATAGTTCTGGCAGTACCTGAAACTTTACAAAGCTTAGTGATGGAAGTCAGAGCTTTCCTGAGCTCAGCAATGACGCCTGGTGGTGAAAACACAGGGATCCTGTACTAGAGCTTCTGTGCAGATTGTCTTTTTAATGTTCCCTTCTTCAGCATCGTGGCCCGGGAACAAATCCCATTGGAGGTCTCTAAGTCGTGGTTAGACAAGCATGTCAGAGCTGACCTTCCCTGAGGTCAGCAGGGTGAAGCAGAGAACTTCCCAGTGTGTTTTCCTAGTTTCATTAACTTCATACAGCTAAAGCTGGTTCAAAGAAAGATCTTTCTGTAAGAAGTGCCTAAAGCACTGAATGTAAATTCCTTGTCTTATTATAAAATAGTATAGTCATTTATGTCTGCTTCCAGTGTAATGCATTAGTGGGCCATGCCTGAAACATGCAAGTAACCATACTGAAAATACTAAGAACAGCCAGGTCTGTAGATTGAAAATGGAGAATAAATTTGCTTTCTGAAGTAGCATGTCACAAGCTAGAACACCAGAGTGCCAAACAGGGCTATAACTTGTATACAATATGTAAATCCAAAATGAAAAACAACTAAAAGTCCTCATCCTCACAGTGAAGAATTTCTTCTAATAATCTAACCTAAAGCCACCCTCTGTCAGTTAAAAGCCACTCGCCCTTGTCCTATCACTACCTGTCCCTGTAAAAAGTCCCTCTACAGCTTTCCTGTAGGCCCCCTTCAGGTACTGGAAGATGCTGTAAGGTCTCTCCAGAGCCTTCTCTTCTCCTGGGTTGAACAGCCCCAGCTCTCCCAGCCTGTCTGCAGGAGAGGTGCTCCAACACTCTGAGCATCTT